CCCAATCTTCATCATGCTGCTGTTCCGCAAAGTATTCTTTACAACCAAGGTTTAAAAAAAAAAAAACGGTCCACAACTTCAATTATATGCCTACTGTCCTGACATTACTTAATGGGTGATAACGGCTTTATAGACAAGGCGCAGACCCACGCTTAGATGGAACTAGGACAAGCCGATGTAAAAAAAATAAAATAACTAGTTTTGGTGCTTTGACATCTGACAGCCTACTCTAGATAAACAAAAACAATATACCCCTACCTAATATTTATTTTAATAATTGTATAATTTCCCCCAGAAGTCAAACTTTGTTGGAACCGCAAATGACATTCGTTTGCAGGAATCTGGCCAAGGCGATGAATAAGAAGTCCATGTAAAGGTCTCAAAATATACACATTCTCTCCATCCCACCAGACCAATGTGCCCCTCACCTTGATTTCAACCTGGTTGAAAGTCTTGCCGTTGTAAACTCCAACCATGGACCCGACCATCTCAGGCAGGATGACCATGTCTCGCAGATGAGTCTTCACCACCTCTGGTTTCTCCATGGGGGGAGCCTCCTTCTTGGCCTTGCGCAGGCGCTTCAGGAGGGACTGCTGCTTGCGGCGCAGGCCACGGTTCATCCTTCTCCTGGGGCGGGCACAGTACAGCTGCATCAGCTGCTCACTTTGGATAGAAAGAGGACAATGTGATCAATGAGAAGCTCTGCCATATTTAAAATAGCTGTTCTGTGACATGCAGATTGACCATGTGGTAGCAATTGTATAATGATATTGTATCTAATATATCATATTCCAATCACTTGTATACACAATCTTATTGCACCATTTCTCTTTTTGATATTTACTTGCACTATTTTTTTTATAAAACAATATAAACATTTTGTTTTATTGTGTTGCACTGTTGGAGGAGCCTGTGACCTAAGATTGTCATAACTAAACTGTAGCTATGTACTATGACCAATAAAAGCCTTGAACCTTGATAACATTCACTTTGGATGGAACATCTGGAACTGATACAATTTATTTTCTGTTTCAGTGTAATGATTGTGGATCTCTAGGTTAGCACACCACCACAACAGTTTGCAAATCTGAGAAATGTCTCATATGCGAGACAACAAATCACCCGTTTAGTGGCTAAGTGAGAGACTTGATCATTGACTAAGCTATGGTTTAACACTGTTTGGGAAAGCAGGATGCGAGTTTACAAGCTAATGTAACTAAGAACAGGTAATGCAATGTCTCCAGCTGAACAACATCTGCATAAGCTGTTTCAACATCACTTACTAGGACATGTCCAGGAGCTGGTCCAGGTCCACACCTCTGTAGGTGAACTTCCTGAAGGTACGCTTCTTCTTGATCTCGGTTTCCGCCTGAAAAAGAGATACAGCATCCAAGCTAAGTATGTGTTTTGTACACTCAAACTAATGCACACATGCCTTGAACAAAAATGAGTTTAATAAAACTGTTGAGCATTTTCTGAACATTCGCTCGGACCAACAATGGCACTAAAAATAATATCATATCTAGCTATCTACGTGACTACGTTGAAGTACCGGGTTAGCTTAGCCGAGCGGCCATAGCTCAGGCTAATACGTTGCATTTAAAAACACATTGATCTGACACTGGCAGTATAGATATCCTTCGGAAAGGTGAGTGAACAGTTATAATTGTTGGGTGCCATGGCCAGCTATCATAAATAGTGACTTTAGAGCTCGGATGCATATAGATTGTAGTTTTACAGGATTCACAATCAGTTGAACACCTACCATCTTGCCTGAAGTTCAGTAAGGAAAGATCGAGCAGAAGTCTCGTTAGGCCTGATATCGCGTGATTTAAGGCAAACATCCGGTGGTGTCTTCCGGCAGTAGTCCCCCATGTGAACAACAGGTGGTGCTGCTGTACAATAACTCTGCATAGGGTCCACTTTTACAACAATGTCTCTTTTTTATGATCGTTAAATTATTACAAGGAGAGAATAAAGGGAGAAAAACTTACCAGAAAAAAACGAATAAGAGGATCAAAGGTAGTATGTATCTAAGTACATTATAAGCATTTTATTCATCTAATCGTTACTTCAGTATTTTAATTTCATGCGACTACGTTACTACATTAAAGACAGAAATATTTTAACTTACTTAAATATTTATAAACTACATGTATTTAATATTACTTTAAAAAATAGTTATTTACAAAAAAAACTATTTTAATGTTTTTTAAATATATTGTTATATACGTTTAGAATATGAAACACATTGTTAAAGATTAAAATGGTGGGTAATAAATATCATAGACCTACTGTGTACATGTTCAATGTTCTTTATTATTATTTGTATTTATCATTTTTCTATAATTTCTACTCTATTAAGCATCTCACAAAGCGTCAGAATCTATTTCTTAGAAATTTGAATTCTTGGTTGGCAACCAACAGACTAAACCATGTTACTATAATTAAAGTTTTTTTTTTTTTCAACATCTCTTTATTAGTTTTTATGCGTAGAAATGACACTTAATAAACAAGACAGACTTTACGTACTATCAGCAAAACAAAAAAAACAGAAAAAGAAAGAAAGAAGAAAAGAAAATAGAAATAATATTCAAGTGTCTTCATTCTCCCAATCATTTTGTAGACCATTATGCTCCAGGAAGTCGAAAAAGGTTTTCCAGATTTCAAAAAACGTATCCAGTTTGTTTTTAAGGAAAAAACGTATCTTTTCATGAGCAAGGTAGAAAGTCATCCCTTTCAGCCATTGAGAAAGTCCACAAGTTGATGGTTCCTTCCATGTGCGAGCTATGCAGACTGAGGCTGGAAAAAGGAATCTCGGTCCTTGGTCTTGGAATGACCTTCAATCACGCCTTAAACTGACGGCACTTGTCCCTATAGCCTGTTTTAAATTGAAGTTGTCCGAGGTCCTTACCAGCAGCTCTGCAGTAATAAGTAGTACGTTTCTTACTGTCCCAAATATGCACAATAGTGACTGCTTTTTCGTTTTTTGGTTGTTTACTTAGTTGTGTTCTCTGTATTTTATGTGTCTGTGTTATGTGTAACGTTGCTGCCTTCTTGGCCAGGTCAGCATTGTAAATGAGATTTTATCTAAATGCTTTTATCTGGTTGAATAAAGGTTAAATAAAAATACTGTAGTCATTTGGAGTGTGTGTTCGTTGTTTGAGTTTGTGCACGAAGCAAGCCTTTGACCATTCCTCCTGTGTTATCATTTGTTTTAAAGGTCCCGTCATGGCTACTGATCATAATTCCATTGTTGAGGTATACTTAAATAGATTCATATTGTGCAATTTTCCAAACTCACATTGGTTTCTCATATAGCATCTCTGTAGAGTATGTGTATTCACTAAACGGCTTGTTGGAGCTCCTGCCCCCCCCCTCCCTCCCTGTCAGCCCAGTGGCAGTCTGCGAGACAGCGAGACACAGCAAAACCCAGCCCGAAACCAGCCCGAGCACACACACACACACACACACACACCCGCAGCCTGGCTGGGAGTTTGTGTGTGTGCTCACACACAGACTCACAGCCTCGCCGCGTCCCGCCGTCGGTCGGGCGGA